TTCATATATGTGGACATGTTTTTCTCTTGGGCATACACCAAGGAGTGGAACAGCTGGATCATATGGTTGTAATTCCTTCGTTCTTTGTCTATACTTCTGTTTTAGGACTTAGTACACTCATCACAAGTGCTCACAGATCTGTTTGCCCTATCACATTGCAAGCCTTCCTGTCGCAGACCCCACAGAACCTAGCATCTACAAAGCACTAAGTACGTGGGAACTACTCCACTGAGCCAAATGCTGCTTACAGACACGGCAAGATGAGGCTGGAGAGCTACCCACCAGATCCCATGGCTGGGGGAGGGGGGGTCCCTGGTAACATTGACAAGCCTGATTGAAGTGGGTTCAAGAAAGGAGGAGAGGAGTCAGAAAAAAGGAAGTACAGATCATTTCTTTTGAGAAACTTTTACATTAAAGATAGTGGAAAAATGAGACCAGAGCTAGATGGGGAAGTGAATAAAGAGTATTTTGTTTTTTTGAAGATATGGGAAATGACAGTCTGTATGACGTAGCAGAGAGGTAAATGCTGATGATGCGGGAGAGAGGTAGACGAGGAGTGATCTCCTTAAGTAGATGAGGGCAGCTGGGATCCCACACAGAAGCAGTGTCATAGATGGAATATTTTTGTTCTAAGACTCACATGTTGAGACCCTAACGCCCATGTGACTCTATTTGGAGACAGGACCGTGAGGAGGTGACAAAGGTTACATGAGGCCCTGAGGGTAGAAACCTGCTCTGGTAGAGCTGGTGTCCTCAGAAGAAGAGGAGAGACACCAGGGCTCTTCCCAGCCATGAGCGGACACAGCGAGAAGGCAGCCGCCTGCAAACCAGGAAGAGAGCCCTCACCAGGAGCCAAACCAGCCAGCACCTTGATCTTGGACTTTCCAGCCTCTAGAACTGTGAGAAAATAAATTTCTGTTTTTTTAAGTCACCCAGTCTAATTTGTTTTTTAAGCCACTGGTATTTTGTCATGGCAGCCCCAGCAGAATAAGACAAGGGGGGAGAATGGAGGTTTCAGGAGGAGCAAAGGAGGGTTCACATGCAGTCACAGGAGGGGAGGCAAAGGACATGACTGCCAATGCAGTTGGGTGTGTAGACATGTGGTGGGAGGTTCTTCTGGATGCTTTTGTTTCAGTGACAGAGGAAGTGAAGCAAGCAGTAGAGCATGAGGACACAGGGCTGCAGGTCTAGGAAGAGAGGGGAGGAGACAGTGAGCAGACCAGGGCAATGCAGCGAGGCTGAGAGCCACTGGGAGCCCCCTGGGAGTCTGCAGTCACTGAGATGACACTCCTCAGCCCAGGGCTGTCTTTGCCTGCAGGGGTCCTTAGCAACTCAGGTGCAGGGAGGGAATCGGCAGAGGTGACTCTGCCCAGGGTTGGGATTTGGCCAAATGAGGAGGATGAACTGCAGGGTAAAAGAGTGAAGGTAGCAGGTTGCTCTCATGATGAACATGGAGACCCAGCACGACTCGGGGAACGAGAAGTCGCAGCGGCTGCAGGCCAGTGGGGGGCCGTGAGGTCACTGGCTTGGAGGACCTGTTGGGGCTGCAGGGTCTGTGGAGTGGGGCGCCAAGGGAGAGATGTGTAAGATGGAGAGCGGAGCAGGGATGCTTTTAACAGGGACTGTGAGGGGCTGAGGGCATTGGTGGTGGAAGGTCAGGGGCAAGACCAGGACGGTGGCTGCTGGGAAGGGAGGGAGGCAAGATGCTTGGGGCAGACCATGCCAGGGCACTGGACCTGGGGTTCTGAAAGCACACTCAGATACTGAAGGGAGGAGCGATAGGAAAGAGTGATCTGGACCTAGCGCTAAAGTTTTCACAGGTTGAGGAACAAAGATAACCAGAAAAGGGGTGTGTGGTGGTGGTGATCTGCTCGTTTGCCCATCGGAACTGAGGAAGGAGGCGTGGGCTGGAAGCAGACAGGAGCCAGGACACCGGCCCTCCCTCTTGCCCAGGGTCCAAGGAGCACAGGAGAGGAAGGAACCGGCCCTTAAGAGGGCCTCAGGAAGCAGCATCCCTCGGGGAGAGTCAGGTTCCGGTGAGAACAGAAAGGGGAGGGAACATTCATAGCAGAGAATACGAGGAATTTTGCCGTTGATGGAGGGGTCAGAAAGGGCCTTACGGAGCATCTAGAGACAACGGTCTGGAAGGCGAAGGATGTTCTGGGAGTCCCAGGCTCCCCACAGGGCCTGGAATAAAGGGTTTCACAGGATGAGCCAGACACACATTTTTTTTTTTTTAAAGATTTTATTTATTTATTTGAGACAGAGAGAATGAGAGACAGAGAGCATGAGAGGGGGGAGGGTCAGAGGGAGAAGCAGACCCCCCGCCGAGCAGGGAGCCCGATGCGGGACTCGATCCCGGGACTCCAGGATCATGACCTGAGCCGAAGGCAGTCGCTTAACCGACTGAGCCACCCAGGCGCCCAGACACACATTTTGATAGGAAGCTTTGCTGCCCAGAGGTGGGAGGACCAGGGAGAAGTAGGGGTGGGTCTTCCCAGCAGTACTCAGGGCGCCCAGGACCCTGCCTCATTCTTGCTGATACCTGGGAGGGGCCCTGAGAGAGCTGCCTCACGCGGCTTTCAGCACACTTTGTCTTGGTGTGAAAAAGCAGTGTTTCCTCTTTGAGGCTGAAGACTCTCATGTGGCAGGAGCTCCAGGGGTAGTGTGGGTTCAGGAGCTAAGGGCTTGGGATGTTCGTATATATGACGGCCACCTGAGGGACAGCCAGGGCCGTCTGCTTCCTCATTCAGGAGACGCTTCTGTTCTGCATTTGTATAGGACTTTACAGTTTTTAAGAGTTCTCTGCTGTTTCCCTGCCCATGACACCAGACACTGAGTGAGTTAAGAGACCTTCATGAGACAAGTCTCCCTGCGTGTGGATGGCGGCGATCTGGTCTTAGCAAAATAAACGAAAAGACCCGTGTGTCCTCGCCTCCTGTCAAGAGCAACGGACCCAGCACGCGGAACATACTTTGTCCATCTCCTCCCTCACTCTACTACCAATCCTGCAATGAATTCTTTTCCTTCTAAAACAAAAGAGAAGCGGAAGATAGATTTTAGGAAAAAACCTTCACCTCCTGAGGTGTGTGACTCAGAATATTTTTCTGACCTAAGAGGAAAAAAAAAAAAAAAAAGCCAAACCATCTACCACTTATGTATATATTTACATATTTACAAATTTATATCTCTCTGATAGAAAATTTATAGTAAAAAATTGAGAGGCAAAAGTCATCTACAGTATCTAGTCATAGATCACAGCAGGGATAGGGTAGATACTGGTACTGGTTGTTAGTTGATATTTCTTCCAGAAAAGAACCTTCTGGTGGAGGGCCACTTCAGATTAGAATTCCAAAATGTCCTCGAAGATGACATAAACTTGAATGGTAAATCAGATGGCTTTTTGTTCCATTATTTAAATAACTTAGTCGCTATACATTTGATTTCATCTTGTAGTACCGGTCAACTGGGGCTATTAAAAAAAAAAAAGATCTCATGTTAGTAACTTGTAAAATGCAGACCAAATTACCCTCCTAGTCTAATGCGAGTAGCCCTTTTACAATAAAGCCATCAAAGCCAAGGGCTCCGGGGAGCAGAGATGGAGGGAGACTGGTCTTGGGCCCTCCTGGGATGGTAGCTGGAGGCCCACAGGAAGTACCACCTTCAGTGCGAGGCACTTGTTAACAGCCCATTTCCTCAAACCAACTCAGTCTTTGAGTGTCATCGAACTCTCCAAAGAACAAAGCTGAGACCTTAAGGACCCTTACATGAGCTGCTTCTCTTTGTGGCAGTTATCCGCTCCTTGCCACATGAGTCTCCTGGGGATAGTTACTGCCCCTCCCTCAGCCTCTCTTCCTGATGAGTCATCTCTGCAGTGGTGACAGGACCAGCCCCAGTTAGCTCAGAGGAAATGAGCCCAGGCACAAAGCTGCAGAATTGCCTGGACACGCCCCTTCAAACTGAGTTCCCGTTCTTGCCTAGTGCCTTCCCTACAGTCTGTACTTCATAGGTCAGACCAGATCTGCCAGGCGCAGCTCAGACCACACCAGGGTTCCCCAAATATCTGTACCCCGTTAGTGACCAGAGATCATAAACAGTGAGCGCTGGAGTCACAGGGGTTAGGTAAAAGGGAGCAAATTATGAGCTTTCCTTATTAAGAATCTAATAGGCGCCTGGGTGGCTCAGCCAGTTGGGTGTCTGCCTTCGGCTCAGATCTTGGTCCCGGGGTCCCGGGATCGAGTCCCACATCGGGCTCCCTGCAGAGGGGAGTCTGCTTCTCCCTCTCCCTCTGCCTCTCCCCTCTGCTTGTGCTCTCTCTCAAATAAATAAATAAAACCTTAAAAAAAAAAAAATCTAATAGAACGTGAAAATGGGTGCAGTGAATTTTTGAGGGGGATGAAGCGGGCGCTGCTTCCCATACCTGTCCCAGCAGGCACAGGACTCCTTAGAGCAGCTCTGCAGGTGCAAGGCTCGGTGCCCTGCTGCTCCCCCCACCCCCCGCCCCCCCCTTCAGGGCGCTCTCCTCACCCACGCCCACACCTGTTGCACCTCCTGCCAATGAATGGGGCCTGCCTCTCCAGCTCCCCTTCAGGCTGAGACACGGCCTACAGACTGCAGATCTTTCTTCCCACAGAAACAGGGTTCTCTGCTCCCTTTTTAACTTGGGTGACTTTGTGACCTGTTTTCTAGGCATTTACACAAAAACAGAGACTACCAGCACTCCTGGAAATTGTCGACATTGGCCTGTGTGGGTGAAAAGTGTGATGTCATGTCCATTTTTCTCTCAGCTATCTGAAATCTACTGGCTGTCCTTGGATATTTTCTGATTGGGTCTAGCTCTTTCAGACACTGTCCTCACAGAAATGTGACAATTTGACCTTTGTTCCTGGTTATGCGTGTCCCCTCCCCCACTACTCTTCCAACCCTTCCCCCCTCCACCATATATGTAACTCTTTTAATAATTGAGTTTAAGGAAGTCCCACTGCAGCCACAGTGGGCTCTTTAAATTTAAAAATTATTATTAAATAGGTAGTAAATACACAAAGTACAAAATCTGAAGAGTAAACAAAAATACACCAAGAAATGTGAGCTCCCACACCCAGCCCCAAGCTACCCAGGTTTCTCCCCAGGACGTCACCCTCAGATGTCATTTTTACCTTCCTAGACTCATTATCCCAAAGCAGTGCTTTTCATGCTTTTCGTAACTCTCCTGCTCAAGAGCCTACAATGGCTCCCTATTCCCATATCGTTCTATCTTCATGCCCCTGACTTCACTCTTCTGCCACTTGCTCACCTTGATGCTAAGTAGGCCAATCTCTCCGTCAAATAAACCACGAGGTTTAGCTCCCCTCCATGTCTTTGCCTCTGCTGCTTCTCCCGGCTAGAATGCCTTTTCCACTCCACCCCTGCTCTGAAGATCCAGCTCCCATCCTCCCCCGCTCAGAGTCTTCATGATGATTCTGGCCTCTTTACCTCCCCTCGGCTGGCTGCCCAGCCCTGACCATCCCCACCACACATTCTGGCCCATTACCCCGTGCCTCCGCCCTTCTATCTGTTTATGTTCTCGTCCTCTCTCTCCAGTGTGCCCACAAGCTGCTCCAGGGTGGGAGCCCTAACGTATCCCTTCTCTGAATCCCACACAATGTCAGGCCTCCCTGGGAACATGATCTCAAACCATCAACTAACACAGTGCCTGACCTCACTGCAGTAACCTCCGTTTTCACGGAGCCGGCGAGGGCATGAGCTCTGGGATGCTCCATCACCTCTGGCTCACAGCCTGCCTTGCATGACGTCGGCAGTCATGCTTCTGATGGCGCTCCTCTGCTGTCACCAGCTGGGTCTCAGCAGAGCCCCACCGGGAATCTCGCCCTGCCCTCGCACTCATGCTTCCTGCCGCCAATCTGTAATAGCCACCATGTCGTCTTTCTCTCCCCACTTCCCTGCTGGCACACCTGTTCCTCATCTCACCTACCGTTGCTCACCCCCTCTCCAGCCCCCTCCGCATGGCCTCCTGCCACCGCCGGCCTCCCTGGTAACCTGGGCGTGTCCCGGCCAGCAGCTGGGGAGAAAGGGACCCTCTGAGTCCCCGGGCCCCGTGGCACGCAGGTGCTCCCTGCTGCGCAGAGGCCCGTCCTCATTCCCACCCCAACCGTTGACCCCATGGCTTTCTTGAAAATCAGCAACTCACTCAACAAAGCCAAAGGTCTTGACCACCCGCCCTCCTCCTTAGCCTCTCCTCCCCTTTAGTACGCAGCCACCTCCCTGAGGGTCTCTAGCAGGGGGCCACCCTGGCTCTCCTCCTGGACTTGTCCCACCCTGGCTCCTCCACTCTGCCTGTCACCCGAGGGCCTTGGGCTTGGCTTTCTTGGTGACCTCAGACGCTCAGAGCATCAGTTACTGTCCTGATGAAGATGCTGTAGCTCCAGCCACAGCCCCTAAAGCCACTTCTGCAGTTATGCGCCGGACCTAGGACCCAAGTAATGCGCCCACCCACACTCAGCCCGTCACAGCACAGACCCAGCTTCCCAAGCCAGAGCCGCGCCTGACTCCTCCGTACACCTGGTGGGGCCACCATCTTCCAGGCACCAACCGTCGGAATTCCTGCCACTTCTGGCCTCTTTCCTGGATAATAATAATATTCATAACCATAATAGCACAGTAACATTTATTAAGCCCCATTCTGAGCCAGTCACTGTTCAAAGCATTTTATTTTTATTAACTTGTTTATACATGTTGCTATTTCTATGCTATTATTACCAACACTATTATTTCTCTACTCTTGTTATGCCCATTCTCCATAGAAGACAACTGAGGCACAGAGAGTTGAAGAGACTTGTCCGAGGCCCGTGAGAGATGAGCTGGCAGGGAACCCCCACCCCCGCCCCTGCCGTGGGGAGCCCGCCCTCTCAGCTGGAATGTTCGTTAATATGACCACCACACTTCCTCCCACACCTAGCCCTCACGGCCACTCTGCCACGACCACCACGATTCAGGCCCTCTCTGCTTGGTTGCACTGTTTCATTGTCCACCAACCAGTGTCCCCTTCTCCAGCCTCTTGTCTGTTAATTCCCCATATGCTTTGTCTAACGCAGAGCTCTGCTCAGAAATCCTCAGTGGTTTCCCAGGAAAAAATGACACAAGCCTCTTGGCAACTCTCTCTCAGTATCTTGGCATGGCCAAGCCTGCCAGTTCAGCCCCAGCTCCCTCTATTCACCGATATCTGCTGCCCCAAAGAGGATGACTCTTCACTCCCTATCCCGCCCTTTACAGCCCTGAGCCTTTACTCTTCCCATCACCCCCTAAAGCCCAGCTCCTGGGCCCTTGCCTCCTGACTGCCAAGGACGTGGTGGGGGACAGGGATCCTTCTGGAGCCTCCATAGCCTCCTTAGTCAGCACTGCTGCTCCTAACAGTGTCTGGATCCTAGCTTTTGTTTGTGATACAGGCCCAGCTCTGACCCTGGCTCCCGAAGTGAACCCAATCCTTGGTCCAGTTCTCCCGGGATGGGAGATGGAGGCTAACAGTATAACCCTCGGAGTCTGAAGACCCTGATTTGAATCCCAGCTCGACTGCTTCTTAGCAATGGGACCTGACTTCTCATAGTCGCTGTCTCTAAGCAAGTGGTAATGACACCCCTGTGCGAGGCCCATCGTGAGGGTGTGAGGAGGTGCTACACGGAAAATGCTGAGCCCAGCGCTGATGCTACATATTACCATTCAAGACAAGTGACAGATAGACAGATGGTCCCCAAGGAAGAGGCACTCTACATCAGGGCTGTTCTGGTTCTGCTACATGATATGTAACTTACCCACTGTACAGTCTACAGGGTACTTACTCGGTTCTCTCTGTGTTTCTGCCACAGTTCAGACAACCTACAAACAAAGGAATTTTCAACTCAGTTAAAGGACTGAAAAGCAAAGCTGAAATCTGCAGTTACAGCCTGCCTGATGGGAGACCTGAATCTGGAACACTCTAAACCACACCTGTCAAGTTGGTCTTCCTGCTCTTCCAAATGCTTAAGTTAAACTAACTACAGAGGGGGTCCAAAGAGGTGTTCCAAAACTGCTCATCAGATGACAGAAAAAGAAAACCAAACACTGAACAACAATGGCTATTTCTGCAGCAGCTCATGCATAAGGCTAAAGATGTAGGGCAGGCTCGGATGGCGTGGGCCAGCACTGCCCAGGAATATGTGAGCCACAGGGGTAATTTAACAATTTTAGCAGTCACCTTACAAAGGAAAAAGAACTGGGTGAAATTCATTTTCAAAATGTTTTAATTTTGAAATTAATTTTAATGTTTAATTTTGACACTTTAATAATTTTCAAAATACTTTATTTAGTAAGCCCAACATGTCAAAAATATTATCATTTTAACATGCAATCAAAATAAACATTACTAATGAGATATTTTGTGGCCCTTTTCAAGTATTAAGTCTTATAAATCCAGTGTGTAATTTCTATTTCAGCACATCTGTTTGGACCCCCACGTTTCAAGGGTTCAACGGCCGCAGGTGGCTCATGGCTACCATTTTGGACAGTGCCGTTTTGGACATTAAGATATGGCTTCCACACATGTACCCATCAGTGTCCTCCCATAAAAGGCATCAGCCCTTGTCTGGAGCCAGACTAGCGGTCCAGCAGCCTAGTCCACAGGCTCGACTGAACTTTCCGTGGTGTCTGTCAACTACAACTCACCGTGGCAGCTGCTTACGTTCCCCTGTCCCCCTCAGAAGGCTCCGTGCCAAATGCCTCACCCTTTCCCAAGTTATGGCTTTACGATTGTGAAGCTGGCTGAAGTAATTTTTTTCAAGACAATTTTTTTTTTTTTCAAGTTATACAGAGCTACCGGTACTGCCCATGGGAGTAACTTTCTCTCCACTGAGTGAACTTTTTTTTAAAAGCTAAATCAACCGACTATTTTGGAATTACATGGGCACTCAGTACCACCTTTTTTTGGTTCAGGTATTCTGGTGACAGACCCACAAGAACTCTGAGTGGAAAATGATTTTGGTTTCTCGGGACCAATCTGTTAGGGAGACGATTAACAATGATGCTGCTATTTGGGGATTAAAAATAATTTTTTACAAGAACATTGCCCCAATATTTTACTCATTGGTAATGAAGCCTCAAAACTTTCTTCAGCTGATTTTTCTATCTTATTTAGAGGAGAGTCAACCGACTTGTAATCTACTACCTAGGGATCTTTGTGGTATTTGCAACCTGTAATACGGACACAGTATTCCTGAGACGCCATATTCTAGTGGCAATGTGCAAACAGTAGTCTAGGACAGCAATGACGGACAGAACTTTCTGCGATGATGGAATTCTTCTCTATCTGTCCGTCCCATTACGGTAGCCGCCAGCTCTCTGTGGCTACCGAGCACTTCATATGTGGATAGTTCAAATGAAGAAAGAAATTTTAAATTAAATTTAATGAATTTGATTTTATATTTAAACCACTCCACGTGGCCAGTGCCTACGGTACTGAGCAGTGCAGGTCTAGGGAACGTGAAATCTAAGTTGGTCCAAGACGTGAATGTGAAATGACATGGGTCCTACACACCATCATGTGGCTGAAAGCTGACTCTTCCGCATTCCCTGGGGCAGTGACAAATCAGTCTTGCAAAGAGCCTTCTGGAGAAAGCAGATATGGAAAGTGTCGGGGCTGCAAGAACATCTGGTCTTCACATTTACAGCCTGGATCCTGGTCTGTGTCCCCTGGGGCTTGAGGAGGGGCTTCTTGTCCCCAGGAAAGAACAGGATGGGGGGCAGGTTACCCATTCTCCAGGGCACATGGGCTGCCTTCCAGGCTGGCCCACATCTCTAAGGAAGCAAGGATGGCTCAGAAGGCAGTGCAGGTAATAGCAGGTCATTATGACCCACTCCAAGTCACCAAACCCCAACAACAGCTGCCTTTTCCCCAGGACCTCCTTTTGGGCTAGAAGACGTGGAAAGTACGGCCCTGGCAGCCAAGAGCAAGCAGTCTTTTGCAAAATCCAGCTTGGAGACCAGAGATATAATATCTGCTGAAGCAGACCACAAGTAGAAGGAGGCCAGGGAACATCCATCTGTGTTTCCACGTCTGTAAAGCCCCCTGTGGCCTGAGGATTCCTTCTGCCCTTAAGATCATGCAAAATCTTGGCAAACCTGGCAGACCCAGCAACCTCGGACAACAAGGAACACAAAACGAAACAAAAGGCTTGGTTTTCTTCCAAACGCTTAAAATTCCAAACTTTGCTTTAGTCCCTAAACTATTAATTTTCTGGCCTTTGAAAACCCAATTTGAGTTTGAAAACTTATTTTTTTGAAAGAAAGTATACATACCTTTTCCAAACAGCAAAAAAAATGCCACTCCTGCTACGAGGACTACTGCTGGTAAAATCACAAAATTGTGCCTTGACTGCCCTGTAAAAAAAAAAAAAAAAAGGAAGCCAGTGAGAAAGAAACAGCCAGACTGATCAAAACAGAGATCCAGGTGACTCTCCTTATTTGCAGATTCCATATCTGCAATCTACCTACTTGCTAAAATATATGTGTCCTCCCCACGTCAATGCTCACAGCACGTTCACGGTCCCTAGAGGACACGTGCAGCAGGATGGTGAAAAATCTGATTGCTAGTGATCAAAAACCTCGCAAAAAACAAGAGTCCAGGGCCTGATGGATTCCCTGGGGAATTGTACCAAACATTCAAAAAAGAAGTAACACCTATTCTATTGAAGCGGTTTCAAAAAATACAAACAGAAGGAAAATTTCCAGACTCATTCTATGAGACCAGCATTACCTTAATCCCCAAACCAGGCAAGACCCCATCAAAAAGGAGAATTTCAGACCGATATCCCCGATGAATATGGATTCCAAAATGCTCAACAAAATCCTAGCTAATGGGATCCAACAATACATTAAAAGGTTCATCCACCATGACCAGGTGGGATTTATCCCCGGGATGCAAGGGTGGTTCAACATTCGCAAATCAATCAATGTGATAGAACACATTAATAAGAGGAGGGAGAAGAACCATATGGTCCTCTCAATTGATGCAGAAAAAGCATTTGACAAAATACAACATCCTTTCCTGATTAAAACTCTTCAGAGTATAGGGACAGAGGGAACATTCCTCAAGTTCGTAAAATCCATCTATGAAAAACCCACAGCAAATATCATCCTCAATGGGGAAAAGCTGAGAGCCTTTCCCTTAAGATCAGGAACACATCAAGGATGCCCACTCTCGCCACTATTGTTCAACATAGTACTAGAAGTCCTAGCAACAGCAATCAGACAATAAAAAGAAATAAAAGGTATTCAAATTGGCAAAGAAGAAGTCAAACTCTCTCTTTTCACAGACGACATGATACTTTATGTGGAAAACCCAAAAGACTCCACCCCCAAATTACTAGAACTCATACAGCAATTCAGTAATGTGGCAGGATATAAAATCAATGCACAGAAATCAGTTGCTTTCTTATACACTAACAACGCAACTGTAGAAAGAGAAATTAGAGAAACGATTCCATTTACAATAGCACCATAAACCATAAGATACCTCGGAATAAACCTAACCGAAGAGGTAAAGGATCTATACTCTAGGAACTACAGAACACTCATGAAAGAAATTGAAGAAGACACAAAAAGATCGAAAAATATTCCATGCTCATGGATCAGAAGAATAAACATTGTTAAAATGTCTATGCTACCCAGAGCAATCTATACCTTCAATGCCATCCCGATCAAAATTCCAATGACATTTTTCAAAGTGCTGGAACAAGCAATCCTAAAATTTGTATGGAAACAGAAAAGACCCCGAATCACCAAGGAAATGTTGAAAAAGAAAAACAAAGCTGGGGGCATCATGTTGCCCAATTTCAAGCTATATTACAAAGCAGTGTTTACCAAGACAGCATGGTACGGGCACAAAAACAGACATACAGACCAATGGAACAGAATAGAGAACCCAGATATGGACCCTCAACTCTATGGTCAACTAATCTTTGACAAAGCAGGAAAACACATGCAATGGAAAAAAGACAGTCTCTTCAATAAATGGTGCTGGGAAAATTGGACAGCCATATGCAGAAGAATGAAACTCGACCATTCTCTAACACCATACACAAAGATAAACTCAAAATGGATGAAAGACCTCAATGTGAGACAGGAATCCATCAAAATCCTAGAGGAGAACATAGGCAGTAACCTCTTTGACATCGCCCACAGCAACTTCTTTCAAGATACATCTCCAAAAGCTAGTGAAACAAAAGCAAAAATGAACTTTTGGGACTTCATCAAGATAAAAAGCTTCTGCACAGCAAAGGAAACAGTCAACAAAACAAAGAGGCAACCCACAGAATGGGAGAAGATATTTACAAATGACACTACAGATAAAGGGCTGGTATCCAAGATCTATAAAGAACTTCTCAAACTCAACACCCAAAAAACAAATAATCAAGTCAAAAAGTGGGCAGAAGATATGAAAAGACACTTCTCTGAAGAAGACATACAACTGGCTAACAGACACATGAAAAAAATGTTCATCATCATTAGCCATCAGGGAAATTCGAATCAAAACCGCATTGAGATACCACCTTACACCAGTTAGACTGGCAAAAATGGACAGGGAAAGAAACAACAAATGTTGGAGAGGTTGTGGAGAAAGGGGAACCCTCTTACACTGTTGGTGGGAATGCAAGTTGGTACAGCCACTTTGGAAAACAGTGTGGAGGTTCCTATGACCCAGCAATTGCACTCCTGGGTATTTACCCCAAAGACACAGATGTAGTGAAAAGAAGAGCCATATGCACCCCAATGTTCATAGCAGCAATGTCCACAATAGCCAAACTGTGGAAAGAGCCAAGATGCCCTTCAACAGATGAATGGATAAAGAAGATGTGGCCCATATATACAATGGAATATTACTCAGCCATCAGAAAGGATGAATACCCAACTTTTACATCAACATGGATGGGACTGGAGGAGATTATGCTAAGTGAAATAAGTCAAACACAGAAAGTCAATTATCATATGATTTCACTTATTTGTGGAACATAAGGAATAGCATGGAGGACATTAGGAGAAGGAAGGGAAAAATGAAGGGAGGGAAATCGGAGGGAGAGATGAACCATGAGAGACTATGGACTCTGAGAAACAAACAGGGTTTTAGAGGGGAGGGGAGAGGGGGGATTGGTTAGCCTGGTGATGGGTATTGAGGAGGGCATGTACTGCATGGAGCACTGGGTGTTATACGAAAACAATGGATCGTGGATCACCACATCAAAAACTAATGATGTACTGTATGGTGACTAACATAACAAAATAAAATTAAAAAAAAAAAATCTGATTCCTAGGTGCACACATCCCCAGCTGAGGCCAAACAAGGCAATGCTCTTGTTCTTGAGTCCTCTCCTCTAATGTAAGCAAGTGTCCTATTCCTGGTCTGTGTATTGCCACGCTTTTGTCGCTTTTTGTTGGCTATTTCATTGTCTAAAATAGCCCCAAACACAGTGCCAAAGTGCCGTGTAGCGTTCCTAAGTGCAAGAAGGCTGGGATGTGCCTTTCAGAGAAAATGTATGTGTTAGATATGCTTCATCTAAGCGTAAGTCATGGTGCTGTCGGCCGGGAGTCCAATGTTCATGAATCAACAATACATATATAATAAGGAGTCTTTAAATAGAAACACACACAAAACAAGGTTATTTATTGATTTCTTGCCAAAAATGTGACCAGAAGCTTGCAGGAACCTAACCCTGCATGTCCCAGAAGCAACATTCGGTATTCACTAATTCCGTATTCACGGTGACTTTATGACACACGACTACCACAAATCAAGAGAACCGACTGTATTTATAAATAAACTTACCCGCACAAGGTTGATACACAGCAAGCCCAGTGTTATTTATTAAAAGATGCAAATATGACACTAGAAGTGCTGTTCTCAGCTAGCCCACACTACCTGTGGAAGCGGAACTTAGCAGCGTGTGTCTGGTAGGGCAATTTGGCAGCAGCGTTACAAACGCTCAGTAAAAACGTCTGACATAAAACAGCCAGACACTGCGCTGGGTGACACGCCCATAGTCTCACTGAACCATTACAACACTCAGAGGGTGCTTTAACCTCTTGGTGCCTCGGCTTCCTCACGGGGTAACTGTAAATGGGATTGATACATATGCCTATCTCACAGGGCAGTTGTGAGCATCAGTTAACACCCTTGAGGACAGCTATTAGCTATCACCATCAAGCTATTGGGGAGATGCCATTGGTACCTCTACTAACATCCTTTGACCCTGCAAGTCCATTTCTAAGATGTTAACCCACAGAAACCATCAGTGATGTGCCCTTCCCCTCCCTCCAGAAAAGGCACAAAGATATTTACCGCAGCTTTCCTGACAGTACCAAAAAGCTAAAACAACCTACGTGTCCTCAACGGAAAAGTAAGACATGTTATAAGGTGGACTCCATCCAGCTACTAAAAATACAAAGGCAGAATACTTAAGCATGTGGCAGAACGATCGCAATGCCCTGCTAAGGGAAGGATGGGGTCACCAGCGGCAAACACTGAGGGTTAAAAGAAAAAGGGAGAGGCTGGGGAGGGAAGAGAGAAAGTGAATGAACAAATGAGAATGAGAATGTGAACACACACCCTTTCCTCTTATTCGGAACACAGGTGGGTTAGGACAAACAGAAAGTCACCCACCTGTACGATCTGAGAAGCCCCTGGCCAGAAACTGCTAGTTAGCTCCCTGTAACGCCCCCTATCCATTCGCCTCTCTTTAGTAACAGAATTCAGATTTTCAGCTGGGCATACTATCACTCCACTCAGAGATTAATTCCTCAGCCTTTCTTGCAGCTAGGTTTGACCACGTGACTAAGTGTTGGACACTGAGCTGAAGGAAGGGTTGTGTGGGATTTCTCCAAAGTCTCCCTTTTCTGGATCCTCCTGCCTGAAATAGTGGGGGAGGCAGGAGGAACCGGGCTGCTGCTGGGTCTCTGACAACTTCATGAAGCAACAGTATGCCCAGCGCTGCCTACCTGGGAGATATATAGATATATAGTTAATGTGAAAGAAGTCATCTACATTTTTACGCCACCGATATTTAAAAAAAAAAATTTTTTTTTAAACAGCTGAATCTAACAGTACTTGATCCAGTCCCTTCCAAAAACCTTTGTCCCAGGGATGATGCCAGATGCTGCCACCACTCTGGGAGGACAGATACTCAGGGGAGATGACACTGACAGTAAAAGAAGTTCTTCAGTCTGCTCCTTTTCTCTTCCCCTGGCTCCTGAGATGCCACCATGCTAGAGTTTTCTTCCTGCCTCCCTGGAGGTCCTTCTCAGTCTTCTCCTCTGCTGGACGCTCATCCTCTCAACAGCCTCTAAATGCTGGAGTTCCCGAGACTCGGTCCCTGTCCTTTCTGCTCACTAGGTGGCCTCACCTAGTCCCACGGCTTTAAATGCCGACTATATGCTGTTTCTGCCCACACTTACTCCTCCCGTGCGAACGACTCACCAGAGACCTAGACTCGTAAATCAAAGCGCCTTACCTGACGTCTCCATTTGAAATCTAACGGGCATCTCAAACATGCCCCAAACCAAACTTCTTATATCCTCCACACACCTGCTTCTCTGCTTTCTAGTCTCAGTAAATGGTGACACTGTTCATCCAGTGGCTTGAGCCAGAAATCTGGGGGTCATTTGCACATTTCTTATTAGGGACCCTTCTCCCCCACTCAAACCATTAGGAATTCTTGGGGCTGTATTTTCAACATGTACCCTAACCTGAACCACTTCTCCCAATCTCTGCTGCTATCACGGTCTTCCGAGATACCATAACCTCTGGCTGAGACCCAGAGTTTCTAAATTGGGTGCATAAACCCCAGAGAGTACATGAAATGACCAGTGAGGTGCAAAAAAGCGAGAATCTCTACTTACATTTGCTACTTATATCAGTCTTTAAGTTTTTCCGATTTCCTCTATGTTTTAAAATGGTACAAGTTAGGGGCACCTGGGTGGCTCAGTCAATTAAGCGTCCAACTCTTGGTTTTGGCTCAGGTCATCATCTCATGGATCGTGAGATCGAGCCCCGCATTGGGCTCTGCACTCAGTAGAGAGTCTGCTTGAGATGTCCTCTCTCCTTCTCCCTCTGCCCCTCCCCCAACTTGCACATGTTCTCTCTCTTTCTCTCTCTCTCAAATAAATAAATAAATCTTTAAAAATAAAATAAAATGGTACAAGTTATATTCATTGTGGTAGAAGCCTCTAGTGGTCCCCATACCCAATCTCCCCATTTTCCTTTGGTAATAGAACCCCTGTGTTTTAAGTGGGTGCATGGCCAGCCAGCTAAGGAGGACATTTCCCAGCCTCCCCCAGCAGCCGTGGCCGTGAACTCAGTCTGGCCAAGCTGCTGGCACTGGAAGTGATGCATGCCGCACTGGGTGGATCTTTAAAGGGAAGGACTGTGCTCTCTCCTCTCTCTTCCCACTTGCTTTGAGGCAAATAGAGATATGAACCCCTGTTTGACTCCAGAGAGCACAATTTTTTTTTTTAAGATTTTATTTATTTATTTGACAGAGAAAGACACAGCAAGAGAGGGAACACAAGCAGGGGGAATGGGAGAGGGAGAAGCAGGCTTCCCGCTGAGCAGGGAGCCCGATGCAGGACCCCAGATATAGGTCTCCTATGTCAGCACGACTCTGGGATTTATTTATTTATTTTTAAAGATTTTATTTATTTATCTGACAGAGAGAGCGCACACAGGTAGGCAGAGCGGCGGGCAGAGGCAGAGGGAGAAGCAGGCTCCCCGCTGAGTGGGGAGCCCGATGTGGGGCTCGATCCCAGGACCCTGGGATCATGACCTGAGATGAAGTTAGACGCTTAACCCACTGAGCCACCCAGTTGCCCCAGCACCACTCCAGGATTTAGATGACCTAAGAACTACCTAGCAATGTTTCTCAAACTTTCACAAAATCTATAATGCAATATGAACTATTAGTTTGGGTGGGGGGAAATGGAAAAGAAAGACGAATCACCATTATTGCATAACAAAGAGTTTGTTTGCAAATTAACAATCTCTTATCATCAATGAGAGGGATGTGATCAAGACAATCTTTTCTCAAGGTATCTACAGGGAAGGGCATCTTATTTGGACATTCAATTCCAATGGTAAAGGTTAAATGAAAACCTGTGCAAGGGCAAAATGCTGGAAAATTTCTTAAAATATTCCATATAAATCTATAGAGGATCCTCTTCAGAAATTATTTCCTTCAAGCATTTGACTCTTGGGACACAAGAAGCTTTTCAAGATCTCAACTTGCTCGTTCATTCTGCACACAATACCTTCTTTTTCTTGTTGGTTATGTGAATCACACACAGGCCAAAGCCAAAATAGCACACTGCTTTTGTTTCTTGTTCGCATGATAAGGCAACTATCTGCTAGCATGCAAACTGCATTTCCACACCTTGGATATGGTTTAACACCTTGGCTATTATGCAACACCCACTAAGTGGAATTAAGAAAGAAGTGTTTGCTCCAAGCATAACAATTGTCATTGACTTTGCAGCTGGCTTTCAAATCCTCTAGATAATTGTGTGACTTGCACGAAGGGTGCCTCCCTGAGTGGTACCTCTGTGGGTTTGGTCTTTTTTCTGCCTTTAGGGACCAAAACCATCAGTTAAGAACTGGAACTCATTTTGCACTTCATCTGGAAGTATTTGTTTGTTTTACCCAGGAAGTCACACTGCTTAGTCTGAAAATGATAAAATGAACTTAAGGCCTCCATGTCATTATCTGAAAAATTTCAGGGTGCCTTGGGTGGCTCAGTTGGTTAAGCGTCTGACTCTTGATCTCAGCTCAGGTCTTGATCTCAGGGTGGTGAGTTCAAACCCCATGTTGGGCTCCACCCTGGGCATGGAACCTACTAAGAAAAGGAGAGAGGAAAGAGGAAAAAGGAGAGAGGAGATATGAAAGAGGGGAGAGAGGAAAGAGGAGAGAGGGAAGAAAATTTTCAAAAAAGGACAGTACATCGGAGACTCCGGGAGAAGGGCTCACTAATCAAATATAATTCAAGGTTTTCTATATTCATTATATTGACTAATTGCCTTTTTCTGTTTCAGTTGCTTGTTCAGAAAAAATTGATTCACAGAATCACCCTATCGCTGCCCAAGGAGACTCAAAGAGTCTGTGTTTGCCCTTGGATCTGGTTCACTATTTACAATTAGGATACTGTTCTGCACTCTACGTGTTCACAATTGTCATCTCTTCTTTTATGTTCTAATGATCCACTTTCAAATTACCAATCCTTTTGTCTGTAAACTGGGAATCTAATGTAAAAAAAACCCCGATAATAAAAATTGCAAATTACAAAGGTACATGATAGTTAAACAAAATAAAAGGACCACAGCCAAGACAGATTGTCATGCTATTCATGGAGTCGCCAATAGACAAATGTACCTAGTGCACATTCTTAGAGCACAAGTGCAGCCTTTAAGAACACAATGGTTATTAAGAACATTACAAAGTACTGTTGTGAATAGTTAGGAGCATGGGCTCCGAAGCCCAACGGCCTGACTTCAAAACCAGGCTCTGCCCCTTACTATCTGTTGACCTGAGGCAATCAGTCACACTAAACTCCCTGTGTCTGGGTTTCTCCCCATAAAATAAGGATCATAGTGACTAGTACCCAACTCATACAGTTGGGGGAAGACTGAATTACTTAACAAATGTATGAGAATGGTGCTTGACACAGAAAAGGCTAAGAAATGTTATCTGTATATCTGTAACGCAGTGTCTGTGAACACCATACCTCATTTTACATTTCAGACTTGTGAAATGCAAGTCAGCATCTCTGGTTTGAAATTCCGGAACCATCCATGATCCCTGGGCCCCACCTGTATAGAGTATCCCCACCATGACACACTGGGTTGTTTACTCACCGTTTGGGACACAGGTTGCTAAAGCAAGCGATGATGTCTGTTTGGACAATGGGTTGCTAACAATACACTGTACTTCCTGTGAGAGATCATTTTTCTTCTTAATCAACACTTCAGATGGATCGGAGCTATTTTCACACAGTGCTGAAAAGCAATTCCATGAGTAGTTTAAAAATTCTGTGTGGTTGTAAGATTCCGGGATCCTGCAACGGACTGTAACGTCTTCAGCAGTTGAGGTACAATTTAGTGTTGGAGATGGAAGAGGATCTGGATAAAAGAAATGTAGTATTTAGTACAGGAAAGAGTAACATTTAGGCTCATCGTCTACAAAGGTATGAAGAGCTCCCAACTTCCTTATGAGCTGGAAAAGACAACCACCTCCTTGAGCACCCAGGGGAGAGAACTCTCTCTTCTTCTGGGTCAGATCTACCTGCTCAAATTCAGAATATACACAGACACCAAACCCCTTATCCTCAATTCAGAAAGCCAAGAGTTTCCACAGGATAGCAGCAAAGTCACTTAGCTCCAAATCCTCATCTGAGTTGACATGAGGATTTAACAGTTTTTATTTTTCTCACTTACTTCATTTTTATTTCTTTATTTTTTAAGTAAGTTCTACACCCAACGTGGGGCTTGAACTCATGATCAAGAGTTGCATGCTCTACTGACTGAGCCAGCCAGGTGCTCCGTATTTTTCTCACTTACTTCAAATATTCATTATCCTGTTGTACTGAAAATATTCTTGTGCTTGAGTATAAGGTGGTCCTCAAAACTAAGTGGGCTGCTTCTTAACATATGTAGAGGAAATAGTTTATACTACCTTTCTAAAATCTAAAAGTGTTTAATTCCAAAAGATATCTGACTTACAATATTTGCAAAGCATGCGGTAGAGCCGTGCCGAGAGCAGATTCTGCTAATAGGCAGAGTAGGAGATGACACCTGTCACAGACCTGTCAGTCTAGAGGCCTCAGGCCCAATCTTTCTCTAGCAAGTGCCCCCTATTGGCTACAGCAGCCTGAACCTGCAAGGATGGGTTAAGAACCACAATGCTAGTTTATCCCATTAGACATTTGTGCATTTGTTCATTCATATGCCTTCTTGCATCTCTACTTTGCCTCAACAACTAACCATAAGAAATTCGAGAAAACATGTACAAATATATGGACTCTCCAGAAAATGGACATGGCAGCATTTGGATAATAAAATTTCAATGCTTTATGAACATCTACAAAAAAGCAAATTAAAGGAAAGTAACGTTCATTGAGATGCTATAATACTATGCTGCTATTTAGAACAATATTTTCTAAGGCAAAGGAATGCTTATAATCTAATTATTAATCTAAAATAATCTAAAAACTGAAAACATTCAACTCTTTCCCCCCATCTTCTCTAGACTTCCTTCGCACTCAGTTAAGTAACACACCAGGTTAGAGACCTGAGTCACCCATGACTTCCCTTTCTGCTTGGGACTTCTTCACCTGTTAGGTTTAATCAAATTCACATAACTTGTTACGTTGTTGCCTGAAAGCAAGCAATGGAAACCTTTCTCCAAATTAAATTGTAAGCAACAGACCAATAGCTTTCAAAAGAGTGAAGAGTTGCTCTCGTTGACTCGAAGTTGGCAAGCCCGGAACCCTCCTCTCTAAGCTTCCTCGGGTCCATCCTGCCTACCACACACCCACAGCAGCCCCAGGAAGCACCTCCCAGCAGCCCCGAGTTTCTCCGTGCACTTGAGAAATGGAATGGATGGTTCTAGATTCTGCTTGTACCTATGCCTGCCTCTGCAACTAAGCTGGGCATTTCTCAGGGGCCTGAAACCGAGCTTCCTAGTTCCTTGGAGATGTTCCACAGAAGCATTTCTCAAATATCAATGGGCACGAGAAATCACCAGGGGTGTGTGTTAAAAATACAGATCCCTGGGCCCCACCACCCCAGATGATTCTGATGTGGATGCTCCATGTGTTCTGCCACAGATTCTAGTTTAGTGATCTAGTTTGGCCAACGTCTAGCATTTCGTTCAACACTTTCTGAACTCAACAGAGGTGCCTCATAAGACCCCTCAGACTGTACATCTTTGGAGGGTAAAGACTAGATACTCCTCACCTCTTACCCATGGCGCCTGACCCAACACAAGGCGCACAGGTGGCTCCTCAGGAAGGAGAATGTATGTTGGACAGGAGGAGGGATGGGTGGATAGATGGATAAATTCAGGGAGACGGTTTCAAATTACTCTCTCCACTGTATAAAAGGTAAACTCTTCAATCAGCTCCCCTCTGAAAAGGACGGGTGAGGTGGCCAAGAGCCTTGACTCAGGAGCCTGACTGCCTGGGTTCACAGCACAGCCTTACCAGGAAGAGCCACTTGCCCTCGGCCAAGTTACTGAATCCCCCTGTGGCTAGGTGTCCTCTCCTGTACAACAGGGAAACAAGCAGTGCCTCCCCTCCACGGTGGAGGTGAGGATGAAATGAGGTGATAGAGGTAATAACGGACATAGGGATTAACATGCACTGCCTGGCATGGTCACATCAGCTGTAATAGAGCACATGACGAGAAGGCAAGGCCCCCCACAAGTGTGCGTTACACAACCAGAGTTGGGAGGTGTGGGCTTCTGCTCTATGTAACCTTGGCCCACAGCTCTTGTGGTAGATTAAGAAATCATCCAGCCCAGGCCTCTTGTTCTACAGATGGAGAGACCCATTGCTAAATCTGTCTCGTTTTCATCTGTCAAATGGAATGTAATACTCTACAAGATTGGAAAGGTCTAGTGGAGTATGAACATAATTTGAAAGGGCCTACGTGGAAGAGCTAGTATGATTTTCCGTGTTTTCAGAGCTCATTTAACTATCCAAAAGCTCTTTCTGGGGGTCTCACTACAGCACAGTTGCCAGATAGCCATTCTGGAAGAGCCTATCCCGCTCACAGGAAAGTATGCAAACCTTCCTGCAGCATCTGGCTCAGAGCTTCTACAACTCAGATCTTTGTGTCTAGAATCCTCATATTCTTTCACTGCCCACCCGACTTCCCACAGCGCTGTAACAAATATTAGTTACATCTCTACCTTAAGCAGCATGAAACTGGCAGGAAATGTATTTACTTCATCCTTAAGACAACTTAGTCAATTTACAATGAATGAATTCAGGGGCACTACTCTAAGATTGAGAACTGCTTATACAGATCTGACGATATTTGTGTATTTCTCTTAACTTTAAGAAAAAGTCATACCACTTCAGATCATTTAAGGATAGAATAGTTAATTCTACTTATATGAACATCACCATCCTCAATGCAACTAACAAAAGAAAGAACTAAAAAACATTGACGGTGGAAATTTGAAGGGGATTTTGAGGGAAGAAAGAAACCAAATACCAATTTACACACAGAAGGAAGTAGATGGCCTAAATTGAGGGGGTGCCAGGAAATCCCCCTGTCTAAAATACCTTTCTAAAAATCTCCCATTAGGCCTGGGGTCTCCGGAAGATCACCAAGTCACTTAGGTATTAACATACCCCAAAGGAAGAGGCCTTCCTCATTTAAAAAAAAAAAAAAAAAAAGTATGACCAATCATTTTGTCATTCAAGTGTGAAATCCTGAGTCATCTTATGTCTTTTTATAACCAAAATCTAAATCGCTTGACTCTTTCTTAGAAGTATCTTCTCTCTTTCCTTTCCCAACATCTACTAGCAACATCTGTCTCCCTAGAAGATCACAGTAGCTTCCAACCTAGTGTCCCCTCTGTCTAATCCACCATCACTACCTACCATCTGATTAATCATCTGAAAATAGAGTTCTTCAAGTCACTTCTTTGCTCCAGTATCAGATCCAGTGGCTCCCCACTGTCACAGGCTAAAATCCAGACTCTCAAGCCAGGACTGGAGGTCTCACATTCAATGCTGCCCAGATCAGTGCCTCCTGATCAAAACTCACCTCCTCTGGACTCTGCTGCTTGGCGGGTCTTTGCTAACTAGGCTATTCAGTTGGTCTGACTCCTGAAATCAAGCACCTTAGTTGAGTGACCATGAAAGTTTAAAAATCAAATTATTCTTAAACATCTCATCAAGTTTAAAAAGATAAACGTATTCAAAAGTTTGAACTCAGTTTTACAAACTCTATAAAAGGGCTCTTAAAATGCATTCCATTGTTATCTAAATTTGAAATCAATCTTTTTAGTTGCTGGCTCTATAAACAGCCAGATCCCCAAACTGCGCATTTTAAAAATTCTGCTTCTCCAAAGGCATCCACTGGTTCTTCCAATGGGATGCCTGCACACCTTAACAAGCCTCACTCTTCTCAATGGAGTTGATCATCTTCTGGACAAACCAGCCACCCAGTCTGAGAGCCCCCATTTCTGTCAACTGCACCTCCGACCTCCCAGTCACCTGGTTCGATTCCTTCCATTGCTATAATAAATATTTATTGAATGCCTAGTACCTACTAAAGTCCCTTGCTGGGCTCTGGGGCTACAATGATGAACAAGAGAGAAATTCCCTCTTCCTTCCAATGTCTCCAGCAGACCAGGCAGGTGAACTGGTGAATAACAGCTATTCATCCAGCTCCTCACTCCATCTTGTCCCACTGAGACTGCCTCAAATGGGACTTAGAGCTCAGATTTGAACTTCTACACTGGACTTTCTGCCTCTTCTCCATTCCCTGCAAACTATCGTACACACTTTGCTACCAGTTGGATCTTTCTAGAACACCTCTGGCATAGAGTAGGGAGGGCTAGAATGACACCCTCTTCTAGGAGAAAACAAGTGAAACTGGGACCCCACAGAGGTGTGACATGGGTAAAGGTTCAGCTGGGAATGCTGGTGGGTAGCACAGAAAAGGCAGACAAAGTCAAGGGCAACACTAGGATGCCTGAGAACAGAAAGAGGTGATCATGGATGCCAGCTCTCATACAGCCTTACACTATCGATCTTAGCTTTAACTCAGAGTGAGACGGGGCCACTAGAAGGTTCTAAGCTGATGAATGACATGCTCCAACCTCTGTTTTAAGATCACTCTGGCTGCTTCTGTTTAAAAATAAACTGTGGTCATCATATATGTAAGTCAAACCATTACGCTGTACACCTCAAACTTATACAGTGATACAGGTCAATTATGCCTCAATAAAACTGGAAAAAAATGAAATGTAATTAAGTTTGTAAATAACACAAAATGTCTCCTGTAAGGGGCAATGGTAGAAGCTGGGTGCCCAATCAGGCGGCTGCTGTAGTCCTCCAGATGAGGATGAAGGAGCCTTGGAACAGCCCCAGAGGAAGTGGTGAGAAGTGGTCAGATGCTGTAAAACCAGCAAAATTTCCTGGTGGGATAAACACAGTGTTCAAGAGAAAGAGGAAGAGAAACATGGTGTCAGGATGACATCAAGGTTTTAGCCCGAGCAACCAAAAAAAAGGCACTGCTGTTAACCAAGCTGGGGGAAAGATCTGGGGAGGAACAGGATTTAAGGGAGAGTTGATGAGCTCACTTTGGGACCTGTGATTTGAGAGGCCCATCAGATAGATATCCGAGTGAAATACAGGGAAGTGGTCAGAAACACACATAAGGAGCTCAGTGGGGCTCCAGGTGAGAGCTCTCAATCTGTGCATTATCAGCATCAAAATAATATTTAAAACCCCCGAACCCAGAACGAGTTCACCCAGCAGGGTGTGAATGCAGGCAGAGAAGGGTGGCTCAAGCCTTCATGTCTCCAATGCTTGCAGGTTGGCAAGATGAGGGAACCAGCCAAGGAAGTTGAGAAGGAACAGTTAGTGAGCTAAAAGAAAACCGGAATAGGGTGGTGTCCTGGATGCCAAGAGAAGGTTGTGTTTCAGAGGAGAGAGTGATCAGCTATGTCAGATGTTGCTGAGTGGCCAAGAAAGATGTGGTGGAGAGAGCATGAATGGATCACTGGCTTCATTAATGAGGAGATCAAGAGTTCTGGTACAGAGATGGGATGAAAGCCTGTTTGGGGTGGGTTAAAAGTAAACAGAGAAAAGGAGTTAGAAAGCAAACATGGACAACCCTTCAGGGAGATTTTCTACAAACTCAAGATGGCAAGTGGGTGGTAGCTGGAAGGGTGGAGGGGGCGATGAGTTTCTCAGCAGCCACAGTGTGTGAGCACGGAACATGCAGCACATCAGCCTGGACCGGGTTGCACAGGCCAGAGGAGTATAGCCCATTTAAAAAGGAGCAAGGATGGGGCACCTGGGTGGCTCAGGTCATGATCCTGGGGTCCTCCCTCTCCCTCTGCCCCTGCTTGTGCTCTCTCTCTCTCGCTCTTTCTCTCACATAAATAAATAAAATCGTTAAAAAGTAATTTAAAAAATTAAATCAAAAAAATTAAAAGGAGCAAGGAAACTAAGCAAGTCTTCCAATGTGTGAACCCAGTGAGTGAGCACATTCGGGGCTGCCTAAGGAGGACAGGGGGCGATGCAAGGTGAAGGGGTGGCAGATTTGGCAGAGCAGGGGACATCTGGCATGACATAGTGGAGGGCTTAGAATGAGTGGTAATAGACATGTACCTATGAAACAAATAATACATTAGATGTTTAAAAAAAAAAAAAAGAAGATAGTAGGAAGGGAAAAATGAAGAGGGGGAAATTGGAGTGGGAGACGAACCATGAGAGACTATGGACTCTAAAAAACAAACTGAGAGTTCCAGAGGGGAGGGCGGTGGGGGGATGGGTTAGCCTGGTGATGGGTATTAAGGAGGGCACGTACTGCATGAATCACTGGGTGTTATACGCAAACAATGAATCATGGAACACTACATCAAAAACTAATCATGTAATGTATGGTGACTAACATAACATAATAAAATAAAATTTAAAAAATAAATAAATAAACAGAATGAGTGGTAATGACAACTTCTAGGTTCTATCCATGGGGAAAGGTGCGGGGGGCGGGGGGTGGATGGAAGACAAGACCATCACGAGAGATCAGGGACACAGAAGCCAGGATATTAGAATTATATATTTAAATATTATAACCACTAAGAATTATGACAGCAGGAACATCAGAAACAGCAAAAGTGAGCCAGGCATTCCAGTGATCCAGAAATGTTGGGATGTATCCACGGGCCTATAGATGACAAGGAGAATGACCTGGAAGCATCGATGGGAAGTGTGGAGGAACCTGGACTCTATCTCCAGTTCCCGTGTAAAGTGATATAGGAGAGAAAAAAATCCACCTCCTGGGGTGCGGTGCAGGTGCAAGCAGGCACTCTAATTTCTAGAGCATCATCTCTCAGTGGAGCTCAAAGAGTTCTGAGTTCACTGCTGCCACTACATCCCTTTCCAGAATATTCCTAACAAGACAAGTGATGCTGCTGGCAGCAGCCCCGCCCAGCTGGGGTCGCTCCCTCCACCTCGGTCACATCCTCTCCTCACTCAGAGGATGACGAGGGGACAGACATTTGCTCCTCCTGTGTGCCTGACAGCCTACGAGACCGAATTCTCTCATTTCTCAGAAACCGTTCATTTGTGTTCGTCTCTTAAAATAGTTGGAAAGTTGCCATTTTAAATAAACCAATTTATGGGATACTCACCAATCACAGTCAGAGTGAACAAGATGTCACCAAAGCTCGGAGATTCGATTCTATACTCAGCTTCATCCGATGATGTCAGATTAAAGATGGTAAGGCTTCCTGACATGGTGTCTAAATGAACTCTACCTACAAAAGGTGGGAAAATGTGGACGGGAGAGCCTGCTTCCCATTCGATGACTTTATCCTTACTTTTTGTCCACATGATCTCTGTAAAGGGTACGGACCTTGCTACAGAGAAAGTTATGCTCTCGTTCACAATTCCAAACATCCTCTGGGGATCACAGCTGATGGAGTCTAGGAGGGAAAAAGAAATTGGTTAGGAAAACCAACACGACTTTATGGAAAATAGAAAACCATCCTCCAAGATGCTCTTTGGGGGGGAAAAAAGTTAAATTTAGCAGTAAAAATGATTCATTGGCTACTTTTCGCACTAAGCAGATAAACTGCTGATGGCAAACACAGCAAGCAGGACATGTTTGACCATGCGGAGTTTACTCTCTAATGGGGGCACTGGGGCCCACATAAATGCAAGAAGCGGATTCAACTTCGATGGAGCACCAAGTCCCTGCTAGGGGCTGTGGGCACGGCTGCCAACATGACAGCCAACCAGACAGGTGTGTCACTCCAGGCCCTCAAGAAGCCCCACTGTGTAGGGAAGACAAAGCAGGCCCGGGGAGCCACGTCCTCGAGGGCCTTCCCCAGGAAGTCATGCTGACACTCCACAGAAGCCATCACCCAAGGGCTGGGGGAGCGGGGGAGGAGAGGTAACTGTATTGATAGAGGAAGCGGAGCCTCCCCCCAAAAAAGGAAGCCCTGAGTTGAGGAGCTGGGTGTGTTTGAGGAAATAATAAAAGCAGCTCCCCATGGCTAGAGGAAAGCGAGCAAGCAGGTCACAGGTGGGGGGTGAGGCTGGAGGGGCAGGTGGGGCCAGATCACAGCATATGTGAGTGTATGTGAGTGTACCTGGGGGTGTCAGGTAAGACATGCTAAGGGTTTGGGATGGATCCTAATGGCAAGGATAGCCACAGGACGGCTTTCAAAACAAGACCGGCATGACGTCATTTAAGCGTGGGCAGCGGTGGCTGGGGACAGGCATGCAGGCAGGGAAACCAGCAACGAGAGGGTGGCAGACTGGGCGGACCAGAGCGGGGTGTGGGTGGAGGCGACAAAAGGGCAGACTTGGAGAGCAGCCTGGGAGAGAAAGCAATGGGGTTTAGTGACTGCAGGTGGCGGGTGAGGGAGAGGGGTAGTTCACGGTGTTGGTCAGGCATCCTTCTTGGTTGACTGACAGAGGCTATTACCTGAGATCAGAAACAATGACTGGGAAGCAAGCCAGGTGGGGTGAGACACAGCCTAAGGGCACGGGACTAGGTTCAGTAGCGTGGGGAGCGTAGGGGAGCTGGCTCCAACCGTCCCCCCTCGTGAGTCAACCGTTAGCATCTCACCTGGACCCCATTCAGCCAAGCCTGGCTGATCACCTGAAACCCACATGGTGGGAGTATTTACAGCAAAGGAACTAATGCTTCAGACAGAGACTCCTGCCTACTCTGCACCAATCCGGTTGTTAAATATTTACTACCACCCCTAGACTGGGATAGTCTCGATACCCCCAAAATGGGTTTAAATGCATCTGGTTCCAGACTTGACTTTCTTGTTAAGAGAGAAGAGCAGCTGTTAAGGGAAAGACATTAAAGATAAATTAAAACTTGATGGAAGTTTTTGCCTAGTAGCAATCAGGGTAATTGAAGGAGCATGGGAAAAATCAAGACTATTAAATAGACCAGTTGTAGGCAACTGTGTTCAGTAATTTCAAATAAGAAGCCTCCCCCCAAAAAAGGAAGCCCAAATGTCCCATTTGTCTATTGCGAGGATTTCTAGAACCCATCTCCCTTAATTAAGGGAGACTGCCCACAGGAATACAGCAGCAGCCTTCCTTGTGGTGCTGATCACGCCCTCTCTTCTCTCACACTTGGCCACAGCACGTGAGAGGGGGCAGGATTTGAGGAGCGAGGGTCTATCCACAGCCACTAGTGGAGGCTCGAAATGTCTTGCGAGTGAATGAATGAGTGAATGCATGCATGAATGGGAGTGGGTAGGGTGGTGGGGGAAGAGAAGCAGTAGGAGGTGAACCTTGGCTGCATAAAGATGGATGGCTGCCACCTTCCCAGGGAGAGGTGATGTTTCCTGGGCTTGAGCACAGGAGGACGAAAGAAGTCGGGAATGGAGCTAGTGCTGGTAAGAAGCATGGGAGGGGAAGGGGGAGACCAGTTCCAAAAAATTCCGTTTCAAGATGGAAGAAACTCTCAAAACCATTTAGTCGAACAACCCCCCATTTCACAGGCGAAGTGACAGGGCACCAAGAAAACTGACGGGCAAGGTCAGCGCATGCCTCCTCGCTGCCGGCAGTGTATTCACGCACCCTCGTGCCCCTTTTTAGCGCGTGTCACACACACTGCAGTAGCGACGCCCACCACGTCGCACAGAGTCCCTCGGCAGGCTTACGGCAGCATCAGGACCAGAACGCAGATTTCCTGACTCTGTGCAGCCCCACCCCCGCCCTTCACAGCAGCCTGGTCCTGGTACTCACTCTGGAAATACTCACTGGGTAGGTCTACGATGTGGGGACTCCCCCAACCCCAGAACACGACACAGTCCCTGCCCTCTCAGAGCTTACTTTTTGTTAGGGAAGTCAGACTTGATCCAAATAATTGGACCAGGGGCGCCTGGGTGGCTCAGTCAGTTAAGCATCTGCCCTCAGCTCAGGTCATGATTCCCAGGGTCCTGGGATCGAGCCCCACATCGGGCTCCCTGCTCGGCGGGGAGCCTGCTTCTCCCTCTCCCTCTGCCTGCTCCCCCTGCTTATGTGCGCTATCAAATTAATTAATTAAAACAAATAATTGGGCCAACACCCCGCCGCAACCATGCTCAGGGCCAGTAAGCAGAACCACAGGGTATCACTACAGAGCACCCACTCGGGGAACCGACGAGGGGTTAGAGACGGCTTGTGAAGAATGAGGAGCAGTGAGCCCCACCAAGCGGAAGGGGGAGGCAGGCCCATGTTCAGGGAACACAGCTCCTGAAGGCAGAAGGGCAATGCCGTAAGACAAGAGGTACCCAGGGGCTACACACACAGGCAGGGGCCAGGCCGTGCAAGGCCACAGACAAAATTCTGCCCTGTATGTTGAGATCAGAATGCTACCAAAGAGTTTCAGACAGGATGGTGACAAATAATACGAACTCTTAATTTTAAAAATGTGTTTAAAAACAAAATATACATAGACACATAGATATAATTTTATATAGATGCAGAATGGTGATATAGACATTTAGCACAGTGTGTGTGTGTGTGTGTGTGTGTGTGTGGGTGTGTGTGTGTGGCTTGGATGCCTTACCCCAGCCCCCAAGCCCTATAACCACCCTCAGTCTGGTAATCTCCATTAACAACTCAGAATACACCCTTTGCTTTTTTCTCCCTGATCAGATCATCAAATAGAAACAAAGATATATCACACATAATGCATAAATATATATATATAAAATTATATGCTTTGTCATGATTTAACAAAAATGGTCTTATGCATACTTCTTTGCATCTTGCCTTTCCCATCAAGAATACCTCATAAAAGTCATACCAAATCCACCAGTATGGCAAGACTTCATTCTTTTTAACAGTTACATATTATTCCAGGGTACGAATGACCCATAATTAATTAGCCATCCACCACTGCTGAACACCCCTTTAGTCCCTAGCTTCTTTTACTGCAATAACTGTTATAACTATACCTGTGTCCAGGTTCTTGTGTATTTATGGTTTTGTGTCTGTGGGACAGTGTCCCTGGAGTGGGGCTGAATTAAAGGGCAAACAGATTTTTTATTTTAAAATTCCTTTTTTTTAAAAGATTTTATCTACTTATTTATTTGACACAGAGAGACAGAGAGCACAAGCAGGGGGAGCAGCAGAGGAAGAGGGAGCCTGATGCAGGACTTGATCCCAGGACCCCAGGATCATGACCTAAGCCAAAGGCAGATGCTTAACCAAGTGAGCCACCCAAGCACCCCAGATTTTTTAATAGAAGCTGCCACGCTGCTTGCATTTGCAATTTACATTTCCATCAGTAACACCTGAGTTATCTTTTCCTTGCACATCTCATTGTTATCTGAATTTGCATTTTCCTGACCTCTAGAAATTTAAAAATCTTTTGTTTGTTGGTAATTTGGATCTCCTTTTCTGAGAACTGTCCTTTTGTATCCTTTGCCTTTTTTTCTATTGGGTTGCTTGTTTTTTTCTCATCAAATATGAGTTCCTTGTATGTTATAGAAATTTTTGTTATCTATATTATAATTTTTCTCCAAGGTGGGTGGTTGGTGTCATTCCCTAAGACAGGGGACGTGGAGGAGAGCCACGCTGGGGCTGGAAGATCATACTTTCAGTTTTGGACACTGTGTGGGGTCTGTAAGACTCCCAAGTGGAGATGTTCAGTAGCTGGGTACACAGGTCCGGGGCTCACAGGAGAGGATCCAGACTTGGGGATCATCACATTTGTAGTGGCTACTGTCTAGCATTCCCTTCCCACAGTAAAGTCTTTTCCATTGCACTTCTAAGACTAACCCTGAAGTAAGTTGCTGATAGGATAATTGCCAATGAAAAAGAAGAACAGGAGAAAGGGGAGTGAGTGGTTTCTCAAAAGTCACAAACCGTGAACAAATGAATGAATGAGTGAATGAATGAATGAATTTGCACACAAACAGCAGCAAAGGAAAGGAGTCAGCAGTGAGCTGGTTGCTTTGCTGATATTGGAGTGGTCAGAGAGGATGCCAACTTCCCATGCTAGGCGGCAGAAGGGTAAGTGCCCAGATTCTCAGGCAGATGGGCCCAGTGGAACTCTCAAAAGCCTCCCACACAAGGCTCCCTCAGCTGTAAAATGTACATCATTAACGCCCACCACAAACGATTGTTTTGAGGTTTGAATAAGACTGACAGTCTTTACACAATGGCTAAAATGAAGTTGGCTTTCAACAGGGCTTTCTCTCTTTTTCTTGCAGTGAGTCAGGCCACATCAACACCTTGGTTGTATGTGATCCTGGCTCTGTGACCACTGAGTGTGGTGTGAGCTTGCATCATTTACAAACAGAGAGAGGGAAAGAAAAAATGAATTAGTGATTGCCTAAACAGACATTCCATGCTAGCCAGCATTTTTTAAATTGTTTTGAAGAATACTGAATGATCTTTTGAAGATAGGAGGGTGCCTAATACCAATAGAGAAATCATATATCTAAAAACAGCTCCAACTCCA